CAATTTCATTATATTTATGGAAATTTCTGATAACCAACCTCGACTTATTTGGCTGAAAATAATATTTATGTAGCACCTTAAAAAATTTCGGATTTATGGTAAAAAAAAACATGTTAAAATTCGTACTAAAAATGGTCTGATAGGTCTACTGTTAAACTAAGATGGTCTTGGTAGTCTAGCGGTTTAGCACACCACACTTACCTTACTGCCGGTGGATGTGACTTCGAGTCCTCGCACGGTACAAACATTTGTATTCATGAGTATGATTGTTTTTATCGATCTGGGTGTTTTCTACGTATATTACGTGCGCATTTTAAATAAATATATCTATGTACTTATCTTATCAGTAGTCATAAAAAAAGCTATGCTAAGCTTGGGACTAGTAATTGTATTTATATCAGTTATATAGTAGCCATAACATAGACTAGATGGCGCTATGTTAATTGACCAGGGTTAAATTATTATTATTAATCTTAAAGTTAATAAATTGAATAAATCTATTATTATATATATAATTTGACATAAAGAGAAATAGTAAGAGAGGACATGGGCAATTTTTATTTCAAATAATAACCTTCACGAGGTAGAAATAGGGGATGAAACTTCATGACAAAATTTCACGGTTGGTATACCCAAAATGCTTTCGAGATGTGGTGTTGGCGCAAAATGTTAGGTATATCATGGACGGAGCGCCACACTAATGCATCTGTTTTGGAACAACTGGGTATCAGAACCCGTCTCTCTACTGTGTGCTTCCAGCGTCTGCTAACTTTTTTCGGCCACGTGGCCCGCCGAAAACCAGATAATTTGGAAAAAATTATAATGTTAGGCCACGTGGACGGTAGAAGGGGCAGAGGTAGGGCACCTGCACGTTGGACTGATCCTGTACGAGAAGCAGTCAAACAAAATATACAGTCGCCGGTTCATTTAGCACAAGATACAAATGCCTAGAGAGTATTGGTTGGAAGGAGCATTCCTGGTGGTCACAACCCTCAGTCTTGAGGAACCGACAAAGAAGATATCCAAAGTAAAATAAGCTAGCCGATATCAATAAAACAATATTTCTAAATTTATAACGCTCCTGAATTATATTGACTTGCAGTTGGAGTCGAGTGACAACGCGAGTTTCAAGGCAGGGGTTTGTGGCCCGGATCACCACCAACATGCTGCTCACCTTCATGAAGGAAGACTACTGTCCGAAGAGCCACACCCCTATTAGTAACCGTAGTATCGACGCTACCAAATACAAATTCAAATTCAAAATATCTTTACTCATGTAAGTCTATTACAGACTTATAATATGTCAAATCTACCGTCATTTCGGAATGATTTCGAGATGAGAAGAACTGACAAGAAACTCAGCTTGTATTCTTTTCAAATAAACGTTGTACATGTTTACAATAATACAGATTCATTTAAATTCAAATTTGGCAGAATACCGTGAATTTGGCAGCTTGTCGTCGTCAGTGCCGTGAGCGCATAGACAATTTTATATTAGACTAGCTGTATCCGCAACTTCGTCCGCGTGGAATTTAACTTTATTTTTCTCAAATAAAAGATTTTTTCTAAAATAAAGGTAACCTAAGTTACTTCTTATTATATCAGCCAATAAAAGTTTCGTCAAAATCGGTCCAGCCATTTCAGAGATTAGCCGGAACAAACAGACAGACAGACAAAATTGTAAAAAATGTACCGTATTTAAATTCATATGCATGTAGTAAAAAACGTTCATTTCAATATTACAAACAGACACTCCAATTTTATTTATATGTATAGATTTATAATCATTCATATGTATTTTAATCTATAAGATATACATATGATAACATATTATAAATCTATACATATAAATAAAATTGGAGTGTCTAATTGTAATATTGAAATAAACGTTTTTGACTCATAAGTCATTAGAATCCCGATATAAATAAACATCTGAGATGAAAACATAGTGAATTCAATTCATCCACCATAAACTGATTTATGTTAATGTCGAAATAAATTCAAGAACAGCACTTGAATCATGCCGCTACTCCGCTACACTCCTGGGTCCAAAACATAAACTGGGCGAGACCACAAATGGATGGAGTCCATTTAATCTCGTGGGATTTAATTGCAGCACCTTTCGATTCGCCGGCGGTGCCCAGAGCCCATTTATTGGCAAAAAGATTTATCGACGACTGTGCCAATTGGTTGGGCGCTCTGGCGTTTTTATTTACAATATTTTATGTCCTACAGTTGAGATTATTACAGAATCTCGAGTTATTGTGTTACGTCTATATAAAAAAATATAATTAGTTTGTTTTTTTTTTGTAGTGAGATAAGAGAGAGTATAATAATATTTATTTTATTTTATTTTTTGGTTATTGGTAAGTAGTTTATTGGTATTTTTTTTGTGTTTTTATTGTGTTCATATTTTCTTAAACAATACTGTTATGAAATGAAATTTTATTGCATAAAACGTGGTACATTGGATTTGGTATTTGAAATCATAAATTTTTGTTCCGCCCATTTAATCATTTCTGACATGCAACAGACAACTGTCAATTTGAATGGACTTTTTCGCCATTTCCGAAAGGTATTCATGTACATTATAGAAATGTGTAGACGACAACCAATCTATACATATAAATTTGGAGTGTTTGTTTGTAATATTGAAATAATAGTTTTTTTACTACATGCATCTGGAATATAAATACATACTACATAATACGGTACATACACCAAAATAACATTTTTTTCAATTTTTGTCATTTGTCTGTCTGTCTGTTTATTCCGTCTAATCTCTGAAATGGCGGGACCGATTTTGACGGGACTTTTTTTGCCAGGTAGCTGATGTAATAAGGAATAACTTAGGCTACTTATATTTTAGAATAAATCTTTAAGTTTAAAAAAATAATGTTAAGTTCCACGCGGACGAAGTAGTGGAAACAGCTAGTTATAAATAGAAATGAGATAGTTTATTCGAACTCTAAAAAAAGGTGAGCATACGATCTATGCAGTTCGCAGTGCTACAGATATCTTAGCACCACCCAAAACTCTTAATAAAAAAAATACAGATTTTATTTATTTATTTAACTTTAATGCACAAAAACAATGTGTACATATTGCGGACTTAAAACCTTGCGGCGTTATCTACCATGAGTGGTGCATCTTGGCGGTGCACTAATATAAATGAGAAAAGTCAAATATATATATATATATAAATAAATATATATAAATTTATAATAAAATATTATACATACATATATGTATATATAAATATAAAGATAAATATTATATATAAATAGATACTTAATGATCTGATAAATTTCAAATTATAAGTAACTAGCTACTCGCCCCGGCTGCACACGGTGTACATGTATTATACATATAAAACTTCTTGAATCAATATATCTATTAAAAAACCGTAGTTTTAAAAATTTAAGCATATATAGGGACAGACAGCGATAGCGACTTTGTTTTATATTATGTAATGATATAAAATTTATAAGTAAGTAATAAAATAAAGTAATCAAATCAAAGTACAGCCTCAAATAGTAAGTTAGAGAAATATATGGAGCAACAAAACAAAAATTAAAATTATATTAAACGTATACAGAAATAACAGAAAAATGTAAAATAAGGAAAAGATAGGAAAAGAGAAGTTACAAATTTAAATAATTTACTTTTGAAAGTATTTTCATATTATCATAAAAAGTCAAATACTATCGACAAATATCTTCTTAAAATATATCTTGACAGCCTCGGTGGTCTAGTGGTTTAGCACACCGCTTTACTATCCGATGGTCGTGAGTTCGATTCCTCGCACGATACAAACATTTGTATTCATGAGTACGATTGTTTGTATCGGTCTGGGTGTTTTCTATGTATAATATGTATTTGTTTACAAAAAAAATGTATCCATGTATTTATATCAGTTGTCTAGTATCCATAACATAAGCTCTGCTTAGCTTGGGACTAGATGTCGCTGTGTGAATTGTTCTGGAATATTATTATTATTTCTTGTAGCCCTTTACGCCATTAAGATAGCATCACAGTGTTTGCGGTACCGTACTATGTAACAAAAACAAATTCGATGCAATATCGATTTGATCATTCGCTTCTATCAACAGTTACCTTACCGTCGTATGGCATACTTGACTGCATGTTGGTGAAATCCATTCCATTTCAAATGCAAATTGCTATCAAACCAACAAAACCGCATAGAAATAGGTACGTACGAAGTAAATTCAATGCTAAAAGGAAAATAGAAAATATAAAGAGGTAGTGGCCACCCATTCTGGGACGCAGCTTTTTCCAATGCAATTTTTAAATTGGTGCTGAATTTAGATACCACTTCGCTTTGGCTACTACTTTCGTTTGAAAAATCGTAAATTAATTGAATAAGGGTATGCCCACATTGACACTCTTATGAATTATATATTTTGTTCTATAAATATTACTTATATTCACTGTCCAAGCCATTCGCCTCTTCTTAAAAATAGAGTAAGATCTCATTATCTCTCTTCATGCCACCTACCCTATTCTATGTACATACGTCCTCTCGTCTAGGTTGTCAGTAAGAGATTGCATTTAGCGATAATACCGCTTTTTGTTATTATTTTACTATTTACTGTATTTTCTTATTATTTTATGTGTACACAATAAAGAGTTTTATTATTATTATTTATATATATGTGGGAATGAGGATTCGCGAATAACAGGATGATTATTTTATAGAACTCCTTTTATTTAAATACAAAAAAAAACATTTACTATGATACATGAAACGACCTAACTATATGGCAGTCTACGAGGAAGAGAGCGATGCCCATCCTCTTTTTCCATTCATTCCTTTCTCCATCCATTCACTCTTTCGTTTCTATCCATTTGCTCCTCTGTTTCCATTCATTCATACTCATTCGTTCCCATTCGTTCATACCGCCAAGTTTCAAATCCTACAACTCGGCCATCCTATACCTCAGGGTCCGTCTTTCACTCTACAATTCTTCTAACACACTCTTTTCATACACACCTACTACACACTAAAGCAAAATATAGAATGAAAATACAACTAAACACCTTAAATTAAAACATGACCCTTCTTATAACATAGTTACACAACTTTAACATATTACACAGTACAAAAAATAATAATAATACACAAAGAAAAAAAATACAACTGGTACAGTACCTATACTCCTATAATCAAATACAATATAAACTAAGTACTAAAATAGGTACAATCAAATAATCCTTTATCTTCACCATAAGCTAATACTAATGCCTCACAAGGTCAGCCATCAACTTAATTGGAAAATTACAATAATTTGGTAAGTAAATGAGTTTCAAGAACTAACCTCTGGCCACCTCTTCATATAGTCTGCTGAAGTGGACGTCCTCATAGGTCCCTCAGAAGCAATATCGACCTTCAGTACATCATAGCGGTCTCTGCCATTGACTTTAACAACTTTATAAGGTCCTAAATACCTTTGCTTTAATTTCATATTAGTACCAAATTGGGTTCTCTTGATTACTACATAGTCACCAATATTATGTTTAAGGCTTTCCTTGCGTTTTTTGTTATAATTTCGCCGATTTTCATCTTGTACTTTTAAAATTTGTATCTTAGCCTGTTCTCTCGTTTCTTCTCTATTTGTCACAAATTCGTCTCTACTTTCTTCTAGTAATAAACTAAAAATATTTAAATCCTCTTTTTGTTTCATTTTTACACCCACCATTAACTCATAAGGACTGGTTCCTATACTTCTTTGATAAGTACTATTTAGAGCCCTTTGAACTCTACTCACATGCTTATACCACTGACTTTTATCCTCTATGCACAGTTTCGTTAAGACTGACACCAAAGTACGATGAATCCTTTCTACCTGCCCATTTCCTCTGGGTACTCCAGTGGTGATAACAATATGTTGGATATTCTCATCTTTACAATAGTCATCAAACTCCTTGCTAGTAAAAGCCGTTCCTCTATCTGATATAATTCGATCTGGGTTTCCAAAAGTCTGCTGATGAATAAGTAACTTACTTAATGTCTCCTTAGTAGTAGTTGTCTTCACTGGAAAGAGCCAAACAAACTTTGTAAATGCGCCTACAATTGTTAAAATATAATTATACAATTTTGAAGTCTCTGAGAGTGGTCCTATGTGATCAATATGCAATGTACTAAGTGGGATAATGCCCTTCTCTATGGAATTAAGAAAACCTTCTTGTTTTCCTTCTTTCTTCGTTGCCAACAAACATGGTACGCAGGTTACAAGGAAGTTATCTATTTTAGAAGATAAATCTTTTATATAATAATCTACATTTAACATTTCTAACATCTTTTTCTTGCCAAAATGACCATTCGAGTGAATTGTTTTAATAATTTCCATTTCTAATCCCTTGGGAATAAGTATTTGTCCTTGATCACCCTTGTATATGATTCCATTCTGTTCATAATAATCTTTGTAAGGCCTCTCCTTAATTATATCTGAAATCGCCTTTATACCCTCATCTAGTTCCTGTGCTCTCCTGATTTGATCATGTAACCCTCTGGTAACAACAGTAACATAAGGATTGCGGCTAAGAGCATCAACATGCCGCATCTGATTCCCTTTTCTATGCTCCACCTCATAATCATACTCTTGTAATAACAATACCCATCTTGCAACTCTAGTTGATAAATCCTTCTTTTTTAATGTCATTTCAAATGCTAAGCAATCAGTAACAATCTTAAATTTTATGCCAAGTAAATATTTCCTGAATTTTTTAACACCCTCTATTATGGCTAATGCCTCCAGCTCATAACTTGTGTATTTCTGCTCTGCATCTGAGGTTTTACGACTTAGGTAGTACACAGGGTGTAAACTCCCATCATTAGAATCCTTTTGAAATAATATTGCTGAATAAGCCATGATAGATGCATCTGTATGCAATTCGGTATCGAGTCCTGGGTTATATAATTTTAATACTGGATTTTCAGACAACAACTTCTTTAACAATTTGAATGCAATCTCCTGTTTTTCACTGAAAATAAAATCATTATTCTTCTTTAATAAGTCTGTTAATGGTCGTGCTATAGAAGCATACCCTTCAATAAATTTTCTAAAATAGGATGTCAATCCAATGAAACTTTGAATCTGTTTTACCGACTTAGGTTGCGGATACTTTAAAACTGCTTCAACTTTGTCTCTACACGGTTTTATTTCTCCATTTTCAATTTCATAACCAAGATATTCCACCTTTTTAGTCAATAAGTCACTTTTTCTCCAATTTATATGTAATCCATATTCAGAAGCTAATTTTAAAACTTCACGAAGTCGATCTATGGCTTCATCATATGTGTTTGATAATATTATTAAGTCGTCAATAAAAATTAATAGAAACCCCTTTGCTATAAGCTCTCTGAAAATAATAGTGATAAAACGTGTGAAATAATTCGGACATATGGACAAACCAAAAGGTGCTCTCATAAACTCATATTGACCATTCTGTGTCACAAAAGATGTATACTTTGTACAGTTACTATTTATTTTGAGATGAAAAAAAGCGTCTTTGAGATCCAATTTACTAAAAATCGTGTATCCAGAAAGCTTATCTAAATGATCTTCAATGATTGGTAGAGGAAACTCATCCCTAACAATTTTTTTATTTATTTTACGGTAATCAACACAGACTCTTATACTACCATCTTTTTTCTAACTAATACTAATGGGCTTGCATACTCTGAAAAGCTAGGTTTAATAATACCATTTTGTAACCACTCACCAATTTGTTTATCAACTGCTTCTTGTTCCTTATAGGCTAGTCTACGCGGCCGCTGTGCCACCGGCACATCGTCGTTCAGGATAATCTGCATTTCAAATGGTGCCTCCTTGGTTTGTAAGGGCTTATATTGATCCACTATAAGCTGAGCTGTCTCCATAATCTGAGGATTTGGTACATAACTAACCGGTTTGTCATCTGTAAACAAACAATGCACATTCCTCGAAACTACATTTACCACACCTTTATCGAAAATAACTATGCATTTTCCAAAAATGGTTGACCTAGGATCACTTTGTAAGGCATTGCATTTGTTGGTACAATATAAAACAATAATTCAAAATAACAATCATCAATTTTTAGTACTGTTTGAAATTTTCCTATAGAGTAAACAGTCGACAATCCCAGTCCGTGCAACACTATCTTTTCTTTATTATAGGCACTCACATTTAGTTCGAAAAATACATCTGCCGACACCAGATTTACGTCACTCCCCGAATCAATTAAACATTCGATTATTACGCCATTTATCTCCAATGTTTTGATTGAACTATTTCGCTTCGTATTCATGACGGTTTCAAATTGACAGTTCCCGAGCGAATGACATCTGTCACCACTGTCAACATTGCTGCCACTACGCACGTCGCCATTTTCTATGTTCGCGTCTATGTTCACACCGTTCACACACATTGATCGTCGTTCCGGTCGGTCTTCCGCTCCCGTCGTAGGTGAAGTGATTGAGATGCACTTATTATCATTCCCAATCGTATTTGAATTTCTTTCGACAAATGCAGCTCTGCAGTTCGACGAAATATGGCCGTATGAATGACATTTGTAACACTTAACTCCTTTCGAACATGTTGTCGCAATATGACCATTTTCACCACATTTGTAGCATTTTCTGCTGTCTCTGTAATGTTCTTTCGTTACTATGGGTTTTCTTTCCCTTGTAGTTACGTACATCTTTTTCTTCATGGATTCGTATATCACTAATTTTTCTTTTAACGAGGCATAGGTAGTGACCCCGTACAACATGACCTTGTTTATCTCATCATCTATAATACCGTCTGTTATGTACTGAATAACACAATAATCAGGTAACTTGCCGCGCTTGCCCAACTCCTTCATTATTAGCATATATTCATAACAACTTTCGTTTTTTCCTTTTTTCCTGTTGGATAAGATTTCGTGCAGCTCTTTCAAATTTATGCTATCAGGAAACTCCTTCATAATAGCACATTTTAAGTCGTCATAAGTTTTGAATGGTTTCTCCGACTTTAACCATAGTAATGCGTTTCCGGCTAACGATCTCCTCGCCAAAATTAATTGCTGTGTAGCACTCCAACCAAATATTTCCGCGTTCTCTTCTATCTCCTGCGCCCACCTCGCCGCCGTTATAGTCTTATCGGTCCCGTTGAATACCGGTAAAGTTTCAACTGGATGCCACGCCGCCTCGCGAAATGCACGTTCCATCTTATTTTCGTCTTTAGACATTCTTTTTGTAATTTAATATAATCTTTAAATACGACGTGTCCACCTCGACATTCGTATTCTTCGTCCGCGTCACCGTCTGTACCGCGCCGCAATTCGGGTACTTCCGTCTTCCATAAAAATCCGTTAACATCCAAGTAATCTTTGATCCTCTATCCCGGGCGATTTGTGGGAATGATTCGCGAATAACAGGATGATTATTTTATAGAACTCCTTTTATTTAAATTACAAAAAAAAACATTTACTATGATACATGAAACGACCTAACTATATGGCAGTCTACGAGGAAGAGAGCGATGCCCATCCTCTTTTTCCATTCATTCCTTTCTCCATCCATTCACTCTTATATATATATATCATATATATTTCAAATCCTACATATATATATTATATATCTCCCTTTGATGGAGTAATAGACTGATCATTGCGGGTAAACATTACCAAACAATTATAGAATAAATGATGAATGATGAGGTTGGATAATTTTTAAGTGGAAGACAAAAATTTGCGGACTATTCTACAAGTGTTTAATATTACAGCTTTTTGGAGAAGGATGAAAGTAAGAGGGTGAAGTTGTAATATCATGAGGCTAGTGTGTAGGTATGTTGGGATGACACCTGTGGACGAGATAATAATTGGGAGAGTTTTCACTGTTATTATTATTATTTTTTTCTCAGCTTTTGCTGGTTTTCTCCACACTTACGGGCCGAAACCAAGTAAGTGCAGAGTGTGTATATGTGTGTGCGCGTGTATGTATGTGTGAGTGTGTGTGTACTTATTGTGTGCCTGGTGTGACTGGTGTTATATCATTATTATTATTATTATTATTACTTATAAATTAATATTTTAGTTAAAACTGGCAAAATAATAAACAACTTGATTGCCCATCTGATGGTAAGTAATAACCAAACAACCAATCGATATGCACTATGCAACCGTTTCTAAGAAACGCCTTAGATGTTATAAATAATTAAGATGGCGCTTCGTGAATTGTACTGGGTTATTATTTCACAGCCTCGGTGGTCTAGCGGTTTATCACACCGCTTAACTTCTGATGGTAACAGGTTTGATTCCTCGCGTTTGATGAATATAACTCATGAATTTGGATGTTTTCTATGTAAATATGTACAACATTAAAATAAAAAATACGAGCTGAGTTTCTTGTCAGTTCTTCTCATCTCGAAATCATTCCGAACAGACGGTAGATTTGACATATCATAAGAGTCTGTAATAGACCTACATGAATAAAGATATTTTGAATTTTGAATTTGAATTATATAATATCAATAATTTACATAAACGCGTAGGTGTTTACAAAAACAAAACTAAATATTTATATCAGTTGTGTAGTACCCATAACACAAGATGTGCTTATCTTCTTACTAAATGATGTTGTCTGAAATGTCCTGGGGTATTATTATTAATAACTATGTAATCTGGTAACAAACCGGTGTGTTGTTAACACACTAGGTCATATGTTAGAGGAGTGTGTTTTTTAAAAACTCGACTTTGACCGATCGGAATTCATGATGTAAAGGTGGATGGCAAAGAAACAACATGATTTCGATATTACTTGTATTGGTAATCAATATGAATTGGTAAGTGTGTACAGAGCAAAATATAATCTAAAAAGAGGCGAGGAGAATGAACAACAGAGTGACACAGGTAATGACTGACAGTAAAGACAATTACTGTGACACTGACAGACAATAACAATGGAGGTCTGAAGGTTGACCTTCGATGAAATTTTACTCTCGATCGGTCAAGCCGTTTCGGAGGGGTATCGTCACAAAGAGTATAAAATCTGATCTCTAAGATCGCTCCGCGCTCCGCTCAATTATTATAGT